TTCCTGCTGCAGAGTATTTTAACACTAGCGCTCCTCCCTTCCTGGGCAAGCGTGGGAGTGCTTAGCTGGGCTTACCAGCTGTTCCACGGCTAATAAAGGGACTGGTCACGACGATTAGGATGGAGACATGTTGAGGAGGGGCGTGCTATGTTCCTGCTGTGTCCCTCTTGTTTTTCAGGTGTTAGTAAATATTGGCAACCATTTTGATCTTGCTTCCAGTATATTTGTAGCACCAAGAAAAGGGATTTATAGCTTCAGCTTCCACGTGGTCAAAGTGTATAACAGACAAACCATCCAGGTGGGTAACTCTGCAAACTGGGCTTTTTCAGATTGGGTTCCTCATTCCGCATTGCTAAAGGCCCAGCACACAATCTGGGCAAAGAGAAGAAGCAGGAGCAGGGCTCCCGAGAGGGTGCGGTTCAGAGCCAGCTGAGGGTCCTTGCTGTGGTACCCCTGACATGGGCTCTAGGGCAAGACGGGGGCAGGGATGGGGAGGTTGGGGAGAGGAGAGCAGGCTGTGGGATGGGCTCCGTTAGGGTCTGCTGAGCTTTACCCTCTGCTTGTAGGTCAGTTTAATGCAGAACGGCTACCCAGTGATCTCGGCGTTTGCAGGAGACCAGGACGTTACCAGGGAAGCTGCCAGCAATGGCGTCTTGCTGCTCATGGAAAGGGAAGACAAAGTGCATCTGAAGCTGGAAAGGGGCAACCTGATGGGGGGCTGGAAGTACTCCACGTTCTCGGGCTTCTTGGTTTTTCCTCTATAAACACGGCCCCGCTCGGATGATGGGGAAGTTGCTATCTGGACCCAGGAATCCACCCTACCTAACACCCTGAACTTGCCCGAACAGGACAACTTCTTTCCAACCTCTGTCAGACTGTTGCGGTAGAAGAATGACTTCCTTCTCATTCTCCGGTATTTTCTTGGCATATTGACAATTCCTCGGGAACCTGGCCTCTAATTAGTTTTAGACGACAAGGTCTTAAGGAGAAATGAAATGATTGATTTGAGCAATTTGTACCTGTGATTGTAAAGTCAATATCGGATTTTATTGTTGGGACCACTGGCGGACCCTCTTTTGTTTGTTCGTTGTATTGTTGTCGCAATGCAAGGAGTGCCGCTGCTGACCCAGGATGGTCTGCAGGGTGCAGTCGGGGCTCAGAGCCGGAGCCCAGCAGAGACCACCCGCCGGACAGCCCTTGACATGTGTTCTGTGTGTGTCTGTATAGCCTTAAGGAAAAGAATGGCTTCGCTTTCATTCTGTGTGTTCCCCCGGGTGGACGGGAGGACCTGGGAGGGGGAGGGGACATTGTGAACCTGTCAAGAAGTGCTTTATCCAGAGAAGCAAAATTTGCACGATCAGACTGCGACTTTTGGGTTGTATGGTTTGTGTTTTTTTTTTTTTTTTTTTTCCTCAGAAAGCTTTACTTTTCTTTCCACACTCAGCTCTTCCTCCTCACCCCCACTTTTATTTTTCATGCTGGAGTGGGGGAGAGAAAATGTATGTTGAATTCGTGGATGAGACCAAACAAAACACAATAAAGAAATATCTGTATGTTTTGTTTTGGATGAAACCAAACCAAACAAAGGTATCTGTATATCAAAGTAAAAATAGCAAGTGGATAACTCTGCCTATTCTTTCAAAGAGATTTTCTCAGATGCGCCTTTAGAACTAGCAACTTGGATTTTTTTTTTTTTTTAATTTACTCTCTGGAATCCTTTAAGAACCTGGCATTCCTAGGTGGCCCTGAATCTTATAAGTTGGGAGTGGAAGCTGTAATGACCAAATGCCCTAAGCACAATTTCTTTGCTGACTCTCAGCAGTGTGTTCTGGTGTATTGGGATCCATCTCTGAGTGAGTGCACAAGGATCAGGTGCTTCAAAGACAAAAGAACCAGCTCCTCTTCCTCCGGATTCTCTTTTGATCTGCCAAGGAAAGGGCATTGTCCTGCCTGCACCTGGAGGGAGGCCACCTGGAAGTCACAGCAGTCACAGGTGTTTGCTGCAGCACCCCAGGAGCAGTTTGCAAACCCTTCTTGTTCTGGCATCTTGTATGACAGTGTTATTAAGACGTGGCTGAGAGTTGATGGTGCAGGATTTATATGCCAAGAAAATGTCACTAATCCCAAAGCAATCAAAGATGAGACCTCAAACCGGATGTGGATTTGTCCTTTGTGTTCCAATGTAACCAAAATATCGATGATAAAAAGTCGTTATTTAAGATTCAGAATAAATGGGTTCAACGTCTGGCTGGCTCTCATCCCTCCACTTTGCCTCCCAAGTCTCAAAGTGTGGAAGTGATGGCCGAGAGCAGGGACTTGGGGAAGGTAGATCCTTCTGTGCCTTTTTGAAAACTACACGCATGAACACCGCACTCCCATTAGGCAGATCTAGCTGTGGTCTGGATGGAGAGTGCACACCTGGCTACACTTCCATTCTTACATATCTACTTCAAATAGGAGTATTTGGGGAAAGGTGTTTTTAAAGAAGAACATAATTTAAGCAAGTTGTATGGATAGGCAGCCAGCTTTGATCACACCTCATCTTCGATGTGGTTCAAGTTCCAGTTCAGTTTTCAATCAGCAAACCCTGATTTTCAAAAATGTATGTGAGGATGGGCAGGAATGGGATTCCATTCACAAACAAAAGAATTTCAGTGGAGGTTATATTAAAAGGAAGTATGTCATGGATCTACATCTTCCTGTCTTTATCTGAAGGGCACGATGGGATGTCAAATTTAATTTGAGTTGAAATCCTGTTATATTTTGTGAGGAAAAGAAAACTGAACCAAAAAGCCTCTGAGGTGCCTTGGCTTTGTGATTGGAAGACAGGAGCATTGTTGATTAATGCTGGTAACAGGAACAGGAAGTGGCTGGGATGTGTTTCCTCTGTCTTTCATTGCTCGTAGGTATTTTATCCTCTCTCCTGCATTTCCTGAATCTTATACTCAAATTCAAACAAACAGGAATCCTCATTAGAGGACAATGTCATACTTAAGGATTGAAAGATATGTAAGTACTTGTTAATTTTTGTCAGTTAATAAGATATAATCCATATATTCATTTGTAATGATACTTTTATTACCTATAAATTGTTACTGGGTCATACTGTCTAATATAGAAGTTATTAAATTGACCAGTCTAAAAATAAGTATATTTTAAGAGTTTGTTTTTTTTCTTTTGGAAGAGAAAGTTCTGTCCTGATTATCCTACAGCTATCTCGTGGCTGCTTTCCCCCCTTGACGTGGGGGCCAAGAGCTGCATTAGAAAGAATCCTTACTGACACAGGCTCTGCAGGCCTGTCATCCCCCATGGTACCTGTCAGTGTTCTGCTCAGCAAAGGATCTTTAAAGGTTATGGACCTGCTGTGTGTGGTCTCCAAGCTGCACAGGTCCAATCAAAACCGGAAGTGAACGCTCCCTTGATTGGGAAACAAGAGGCACCTGTGCTACTTGAAGGCCGAGGTCAGCAGCCCACCCCTGAGCCTGGTTTGTGTCTGCTCAGGGAGGGCAGTAACCCTGCACCAATCAGCCCTGTCCCAGGACTGTGGGAGGGTCACACGGAAGTGCTCTGAGCTGGAGAGGCTTACCGTGAATCACAAGGTGCATTGTGATGGCAAGGGGTAGTTTCCAGAGAAGCAAACATCGCAATGTGCAATTAAGAACATTTAAAATGAATATCTCGTAGGGGCGTAATGTACCAAAAATAAATGTCCGTATTTCTCAAAAGTCTATTAAACTGAGACACTATATTGAAGTTTTCTTTAGTATGACTTTTAGAGATGATGATAATGACAAAACCTATACATTTTATTATTAACTCCATTCCTCACTGATGTGTGTACTCTCTATGTGATTTAAGCTCACTTTTCTGTTCCAGTATGTAATGCCAACATTTTATAAAAATCCACAACTGTAAACATTGTAAACAGAAGTTAAAAAAATGAGGTATCTACATGCCCTAATAATTTGATTTAGTTGATAAATGTGAGTCCTACTAAATTATAAATGAGTTAAGACAATGCCATTTTTTAAAAAACTTAAGGTATATTCTCATTTGAAACACATCACTGATGATTCCAAAAAACTGTTTACCCTCTGTAATTGCTGAGTTTTTTTGCATCTTAATAATGTTGATTTCTGTATTCCTGTATAAGTGAAATTCTCTACATTTGGAAATGTGTGCTTGCGATCACTGCTCAGAGTAAAGGCAATAAATGCCTATTGAATACTAGCATGAGAACTCAAGGAATCGTGTAACTATTATATAAATTTACTCATTTGACAAGAAAACAGCTAAATTTAGTTACAAGGAGCATAGAAAAATTAGAAAATATAGAAGAAGCAAACCAAACCTTTGCTGAATCCTATAATTCTATTTGTACTTTTCTCTTGATTAAAAAAATGATAGCGGTCATGTACTCACCAAGAATCACATATATGTGGTTTGCCTGTAAATACATGAACATATGCAGCTGTTTTTATTTTTTTAAACCTAGTTATATAAAATAAAATACATGAGTCAGTCACATCCTCCTGGAATCTAGGAATATGTGAAAGGAAAAGTTGAATCGCTTTAGCCAAACAAATCAACTGCCTACCACTGTTGCTTCAGATGTAGCAACAGAAGCAAAGAATGTTTTGTGTGAACCCTTATGTTGCAATCTTTTATAATGAAACAATGTTGCAGTAAGGCAGTGTTGCTGTTAATAACATAGTTAATGTTTGTTTATACTCCTACAGCAACAGAAGTATATAATAATCGACTACATAGATGCACATGAATAAAAAGGCTCTTACAGTAAACCGAAGATGGTGTAAATACACGGGGAGCTCATAGAAGCAGATTTCCTGAATCAGTCTTAAGGGTTTATTGTGCACTCCGCAAAAACACTTGTAAAAAGTGCCGGAGATTAACTATAGAAATACAGTGAGTTTTGCTCCTTTGCCTTGCTTATGTGGAAACTTACTTGCCTTTGAGATTCTATTTCTAAAGCTGGCACATTGCTACTAAAATGGATATGACAAACATCTTAAAATTTCAGATCAAAGCCTATAAATTCTCATAAGATTCTCAAAATTATTTTTCTTGGCATTTAGAGAGCAAGCACACCAAAATATACTGAAGTAAGTTAAACTGCAGTTTCCATTTGGGTTTTACCGTTTCGCCCTTTTTGCCTGCTGTATCTGTTTCCTACGAGACACTTTGATCCAGTTAGCGGATGATGGCCACCGTCATCAGTCAACTCCATTGGTGCATTAGCCTAGGATTTTAAAACGTGTTTTACAGATAGAATTCACCAAAAAACATATATATTGCCTTTGCAGATGAAGAACTACAATCCGTTTTTTAAAAAGATATTGAAACATCTCTACGTTATGTAGGTTTCCATGATGTGATTGGACAGAAGTAGTCCACACCACTGCCTCCCCCTCAAAAAGAAAACATGCCAAAAGTCCTTCAAAAGGTCCAATGAATATAATTTTTAAAAAATATAATAGCATTATGCCAAAACATGAATCTTAAGTAAATGAGCTTTCTTTGCACTCCCAAACCCAGTAGGATAACTTGAAATTTGTAAGGGCAAAAGCCACATGATTTTACCTCCTATGGATAGTAGGAGTTCTGCTTTATCTTCCTAAGTGGGTTTTGCTGTGGATTTCCATCACCAGAATCACTTACGTGTCTGTAGCATCATAAATCATCACCCTCATCAACTCGCCCACATGCACTCACCGTGTAGTGTAAATGAGCTCCTTGACAACTTAATTTGGAAAAGAAATCTTCGTTCCCTCATCTTAATGCTTGCAGCAGGACTCCCCAGGGTTAGAATGCTGCTTGCATGGGAGCCGTCCTAACAAAATGGAAGCTACTTGTTAATGAGCCTCTACCAGTCCTACAGCCTGACTAGAAATGCCCTCACTTTTATTCTTGTTCCCTCACCTTCCTCAGGAATGCTGATTTCTCCTAATCCATATGAGCTTGCAAACAAACATCAAGTTAGGAAATGTTGGCAATATTTTGGGGTGTGAAGCTCTTGAATATATTGCATCAATCTGTTTGATTTTACTTTATCATTTAAACCATATCACCCTTATACCTTCATAGTTCCCTACTATATGGAACATTCTAATATGTTCTTGTCTTTGTTTTAAACATGAACATCTATTGTGATTCTGAGTCCCTCATTATTACAGAACTGAAGATGATTTCATATGGAAAATGAATATCTAAGGCACAGCCAACTTAACTGAGTAAAATTTGCCAAATTCTCCTTATTACTGAAATTGCAATATTTTTACATGGATCTTAGCAATTTCTGCCAACTTCAAAAGTACATTATTCTGGGCCAACTGGTGGTGTGG